CCTCTCTCCCTCCCCCTCTCTGCCCTCCCCCCCGCCCTCTCCCTCTGTCCTATCCAACACTAGCATCAAGCCACGAACCTCCGCGTCATGGGAGGGACACGGTTGCCACAATGGTTTTGGAACATCTTTGGCATCTATATGTTCGGCTGCGTTTGTTCCAGGAACATAGCGGCCGCGAGGATATTCATTCTCAGGCCTGGCATCATCCTATCTCATGCACGGCTGCGCGCACTGCAAGCTGGCGGCTGGTGTTCTGGGGGCTGCTCCTGAGGCCCTGAGGGTTGGACTCTTCGACGCGAAGGGCAAGGAAGAGTGGCTGCAGCCAGGCCCTGCCAGAGAAGCGATGCCATCAATATGTCCCTAATCAACCTGCTGTCCAAATTTTCCAAATGAGGGCGCGGCGGGAGGACTACATGATCCCAGCTCCTCGGGGCCTGCGATCCACACGTGACCAACTGCACTGCGCACACTTGCGGGCAAACCGCCTGGCCTGACAATAGGTCAAGCAGCCGCCCCGAAGATCACCTCGCGCCCCTGGGCCTCCTTCTTTTCTTTGCCGCTTTTTTTGAGCCTCAGATCAAAAACAACACACACAGATACACCCAAAAAAAACAAAATACCTTCAAAAATAAGGCTCCCACGCAAAAGCCACAGAAAGAGCCCTGGCCCTTCACGAATTTCGGGCAGTCGAAGCCCTCAGAAAAAAAGCGAGTAAGGACGACGATGCACGCACTACCACCCACCCGAGGAGCGTGCCACGGGGAAACCATGGCACTTGGTTCCTGCGGCCTCACCCAACTGTCCCACGACAAACATGTAACGAGTTGCAGGACCGTTCGAGCCTTGCCCACACATTGAACATGGTACACTCTGGGAGACGTAGCAAAGCCAAAGAGCCGCACCTGCGACAATGGCGCCAAGCCACCGCTTCTCAGAGCTTTGAGCCGACACAGCCACTGGCAATGTTAGTGTTCATGCAAGGCACGCGGAGGTTTGCAAGCTGGGCGCTAGGTTTTAGTTTAGCATTTCCGCTGAACTTCCTCGATCCCTACATGCACTTGCATGGTGTGGATTTCCTCCCATCTCTGCACTTAAGCTACATGCACCCTGCCAAGTCGCTGCCCCCTTCCCCATTACAAAGATATCATAAAGTCCACAATTCTTTAGAATTCCATGATATAGTATTTAAGACTATGTTATTGAAATAAATCAATGCTGGCTTAGTGTCCCGAATCTATTAGTGTCCCATGATATATCTAGATTAGTTTAATATGTACTATGTCAAGTGTTCGCGCACCGGCACTCACGCCAGGAATATTCAAGTCGGAATCGTGCTTTCTGGCCCTGGGAGTCATGCGGGGTCATCCAGGGAAGCCAAAGTTGCTGTTAAGCATTCCACGCCCTGCCAAAGACGTACAAATAAAATTAGTATGACATTCTATCAAAAGAAGGATTACATCCTGTCTTGAACCTCAGTTTGTATTTCATTATTCAAAACGTCTTCGGGATATTCGTTGCTTGGCGTAATGAACTAGGTGGGGTTTTCTGCAAGCTGTCGGGCCCTGCACGGCTTCACCGAAGAGTGCAGCCAGAATTCATCACCGTATCCGCGCGTTCCGTAGACCTTTGTGTTGGTCTTTGCATGTTTTAGAGCTTTAGCCCGCAACGTACAAACCACTCGACCCTGGAACTGACACCCCGGATGTTTTGAAGCCAAGGAAACCAAGGAACTTTGTCCAGCACATAGCCGTGGCTTTCCAAAATGTCCCGGATGCGCTTGACCTTCTCGTTGCCGATGACTTCCACGGCAATGGCTCCAACCAGCGGGGCGTTCTGATGTTGCGCAGATTTCTCGAAGAAGGCTTCTAAGACTTCATCCTCGTGACCCTCGATATCCAAACTCAAGAAATCTACTGCATCCAGTGAGTGGGCCTGGAGATATGGCACCACTGCATCCCACATCGAGATAGTAACCACCTGATGTGTGTCCAGGGTCCAGGCCTCCCCCAAGTCAGCTTGCATCTCTGTCGCCTTGGTGCGTTCTGCAGACTGATTGTCGCCTACTAGCCATCCATGGCCAACTGCTTGCGCCCTCGCGCTGGACGGGCGCCGAAAGGTTCGCGTTTCTCCAGATGCTCGCCAGACCGGCTGCTCATAGCCTTTGAAGAGATGCAAGGGTCCCAGTTCGTTGGTCGGTTCTCATGGGAATCTGAACCACTTAACAGCGTGAAAGCCATGAGAACTTGCTCAAACACGCATGATAAAGCGATATAAAGTGCCACTGACTGGCGCTGGCAGCTGCGCGTGTGCACGAAGCCTGGAGGGTCCTCGAAGACGGCATCCATGCAGACACCATGCCAGCCAAGAAAGACGTCCATGGCATAAGTGTTGCTGAGCCTTCAATGGCATTTGAATTGTATCACTGCAGCTAACTACTTCTTTGTTTGTGCCATGCCACATCCTGAGCAAGCTTAAGCTATTGGACACTCATTACTCAGTAACTAGAATCAGCTCGAAGGTGTGAGGAGCCTCCAGCTGTGCGCAGCTCCGATGTCAACAAAGACGCCTTGTTGCTTGCAGCAGAAGACCTCCTCCAAAGCCCACTTGTCTGCTCCGAACTGCCCTGTGAAGGCCACCCCTGCGCATGGGTGGTCGTGCCTCAGAGTCTCCGGTATTTTTCCTGGGGCTTCGGAGTTTTCACTTGCGGGGTTTAGGATCTGTTCTGCAGTTTAATTTGGGCTTGAAGTCTTACAGAGCTGAAGGAGACTAAAGGAGGCAAGTGATTCTTAGGCTCAGGTAGAACATCGCTCCGGAACTCGACCCAAGGCACGGGACCTTGGCCATCATCTCCCTTACGTCAGTTGAGACGAAGTTGTTCAGAAGTGGGTCGGCTTGATGCAGTCGCAGATGCGTGCGATGAAGCAGCCTTGGTTCCCAGTGGAGCTACTTCCAGGTCAAGTCTCTGCCAGGAATCAAACAAAACAGATCAAAACAGGAGCAAAAAAGGAGACGCCCTAAGAAAAGCCTGGTGTCAGCCATGCATCGGCGTGGCCTTGACACATGCCGGTCCCAGCCTCTCTGAAGAGCTTCTCGGCAAGAGCTGCCTTCAATGGAGCATTTCACGCCACAAAACCCTGACAAGAATCGTGCAGGAACTCTTCAAGTCCTTCAAGACTATTTCAAGACTGCTCAAGAAGCTCAAGAAGGCATTGCTCTTGCACTCGCTGCACTCGAAATGCCTGCTTCAGGGAACGACGAGCTCTCAGCTCCTGGTCTTTGCGCGGCAGCTCTGCTCCAGTGGCATTCCTGAACAACATGGGCTCAGACCTATCTTCGACTTTCAAGGGCGGCACCCGGTCATTTCTTGCAGCCAGGACATTTCAGAAGCTCTGACACCGTTTCAGAACCCTTACGCTGACAGTAAGATGTACAATTGGCTTGGGCCATCGGCGCGCCGCAACCAACATCCAAACCCTTGCTTTTCCACGTGCATGTGCCCGCAATGACTTTCAAAGAGCTATCAGGATCGGAGGTTGCTGAAGCCTGAGGACAAATTAAACAGGATTCGGTAAGACATGAAGATGCATCCAGCATCAGTGGCTGTGGAGCAGCCAACAGCGCCATCGCACTCAGCTGCTTGGCGCCAACCACGGCGCTGCAAGCGTGCCCTTCAAGGAACTCCGACACACAGAGCTTGACCGGATAGACCGGATAGAATACGATTCATTTTATGATTGTACGATTCCTTTGAAGCTGGTTGCAGGCAGGTTGGAATGAAACTCGGGTACTACAGTCCAACCATGATGTCAAATTGCTGATTGTGTCTAGTGCCCATGGTTCTGGTGTTGGAGAGTTGGTTCAGGCTCAGGGATGTAGCAGAGAGCTGAGAGATGACAAGTTTGGGCGATGGAGTTCCAAGATCGCAGTGCCAAAGAATGAACTAAGACCTCACACCAGGCCAAAACGTCAGCAACTGCTCGAAGATGGCCTTTGGGAACTGGAATGAGCCGGTCCAAAGGTTTCAGACGCGATGCCGGGGTCTGCAGCTGCGCGACCTTGGCGTGGTGAAAACTAGGGGTAAAGAATTTAGGAGTCCATTCGTCACTGGGCTATCAACACGTGACATCTTCCTTGCCCTCCCCTCCTCATTCTGAATTCTTGGTTCAAATGATCGCGTGGTTGGTTGATAGGGGAAGTTCCATACATTCGTTCTGGTGAGGAAGCCAGCCAGTGTGCAAGTGTGTGAGGTTGTGCGCAAATGCCTGCGTGCTAGCTAGAGCCTCTGCAAACTGTTGAAAATGTTGAAACCAATCGTTCAGATGCAGGACCGTGGCAGTCACAAAGGACACGGCAGCTTCGTCGCAAGGCTTGGTCGCAATCTCGCTGGCTGGCACCGTCAGATCTTGTATCCTGAGAATGGCATGTGTCACCCACCGAAATCTTCACCAAAAGAGAGTTAGTAAGATCTGTGAGATCTGTTCATCACAGTGTATCCAACCACTAGTGAAGCGCAGTCGACACTTGTTCATCCCTCACCGCTTCAGCATGTGGCTTGAAAAACTCGGAGAATTCTATGTAACTGGGAGAACTCTATGTTTTTGGAATGTCTCATCTGCTTGGAGCAGAAGCAACAAGGCCCGATACCCGACAGAATCTCAAGACCTATGGGACGAACCAGCAGTCAACCCTACTATCGATGGCATGAGCGAACAGCCAGAAACACACTCCTCAACACAAATCATGCAACCCTCTGACACTCTTTGACTTCCCTTCCGCAAAGGCAAAAGACGCAACAATACACAGCGAGGATCGGCGAGGATGCTGCATACTTCTAACATCTTCTAACGCTTCTACAGCTGGGGTTACTCCGCTGGAGTCCCTCACTGCTTCAGCGTGTACAAAGGCCCCTCTTATTGAAATGCGAATGTCCAGCCCCCTGCCAGGAATGCTAGGAGACATGTGTTTCTGCCCTTGGTAGCAGCACTTCCCCTGCCACACGAACACAAACAGCCAAACAGAAAAACATACAAACACAAAAGACATACAGAAACAAAAAAACACCTGCAAAGCAAAAGTGGTGCGATACAAGGCAGGCATCAAGAACTGCATGCCAAAAACAGGGTACGGCTCCATGAGCAGCTGGGAAAATGATGGGCCTGGACGTGTATGAAGCCGTCCGCAGCCGCGCAGTGCCAAACACACGCAATGTTTCCGGTGTGCACCGACTGCTTGAATGTGAATGTGGCTCGTTGTAAGTGCTGGCAATGCATGCCAGCCTGTCTGTGAGCTCATATTGAACGACTTCCCTTGCTGGTACCAGGTCCATCCAGACTTGCCTTGGAATCCTAGTCTGTAGGACATCTGCGATTGTGCGTGAGCACCACTGATCCATACAGATGTCAGCAGCAGCGTGTCATCCAAAGGAACCTCGATTGCTCTCTGACTGCTGCACAACAAGGTCGCATCCACTGGAATGCCTTTGCCGCGAAGGGGGCAAACGCTGTCGATGCTGCCGTAAGGATTCTTGCTAGGACTGCTCGGATTTCGAGGCGCCGGAATTGCCGGAATTGCCTGAATGGAATCACAGGTTCCACGACTAACCTGTTCCTCGAGGTAGTCGAAGTAGCCTCTCAGGCTCCATCCAAACAAATCCAGTGGGCAGTGAGGGATCGACTGGAGTGTGGCGATATGAAAAGCCTGCCGGCAGAAGACGTGGGCGGAAGCTGAACACGACGGAGCATCCGCGGTTCTGCAGAGGCTTGCAATGGACTGAGTCGCATCGAAAACCGTCCTGATCTGACCAGGGAGGTTGACTCATATCACATGCTTCAAGCGTCAGGGTGCTAGCTTGCAATAGGAAAAACTTTCATCCATCCCTCTCGACGTAGGTTTGATGCAAGCAAAGAACCACAAGCCCCCTCAAACCCAAACTGCAACCTTTCCAAACCTCTTCAACTCGGGAGCCCTTTCCAACTCGCTGCAGTGGATCTCTGCCAGGGGTCTGTGTTGTTTCCGGATATGTGAGGTCAAACAGTGGAGCCAAGTACGTTGCCCAGGAGATAAGACTTTGGCAGGTCTGCGGTGTCTTCTCCTCCACATCCTTCGCTCGGGCTTGCTTCGGAATTAGGTTTAGAGTTCCAACCTTGGTGTGCAACTTGCTTCGTCTCATGCTAGTTGCTGTGTTTGCACTAACGTCAACGTGGTTTAGCAGAAAGGCTCAATCTGAAACCTTCCAGCTCAGGCAGCTGGAGTGCAGGGAGGATGGGCAGTAAACCCCAGGCCCTAGGCCCCTAAGCCGCTGGACCACAGGAGTTCTTCCGAGATGTTGAAGAAGATCATTGATCCAAATCATTCAAGTTCAGCTGAGCAGCCGCAGCAGAAACAGAAACAGCCGTCAAAATGCCAGCAAGCTCGATGGGCCACGCTGCATTGCGATGCCGAGGCATGCGGATGCCGACCCAGCGTGGCACCTCAAACTGATGTTTGTGTCTTGTGGCCACTTTTGCACCTCATGTTGTAAGGATTTGTAAAGGAGATCGTCGAAGCGGCATGTCGGCAGGAAAAATTAAGTCTAGTCCCTACCTCATTCACCAACTCGACCATGTTCACGTGTAAAGCCGTGGCTCGTCTGAGGAAAATGGCAGTGGAGTCGGAAAATGTCTCAGGAACAAGCTGGGGACAAGTGATGAAGCAGAGCCCCGTGCAAGGATTCAGAGCGGCGGCCGGTGCCAAAACCAAGCGGGTGGCCTGAACTGTCGCACCCTGGTTATTGTGGATTTGTCAAATACCTGCTCGCCCCTTCCAACCTGATAAGCGCAACCGGCAATATGGATGCTACCTCCGAGCCATGTCCGTTTCAGAATCCCTTCTGCCAAAACGCCTGACCAAACCGAGCCCCAAAAACTATCAGAAACTGTCATTGAGCTTCGACCACTGAGGTGAATTCGTTGGCAAAGTGCGAGCCTTTTTGAGACTAGAGCACGGTGTCGAACAGGAGAACTGCTCAGAAGACTCGGGGAGCTAGGAGATGTCTGCTACCAAGAGGAATGAAGTGAGTGTCCCAGAGGAAACTTCCCCTGACCAACCGCCCATGCTAAACATTAGAGGAAGCACCCATGGGAAGATCAATACATCAACGGTACCAAGTACCAAGTACCGGGGCTAGTTTTGGAAGCGAAGCGGGGAAGTGGGTTAGGGATTGCCGGCTTTCTGCTTCAGCGCGTCAAAAAGGGTGCGGGGATGTGAGGCGTCTCATGGTTATCTTTGCGTCGGGGCTTCAGATAGACCTGAAAGCTTCTGGGTCCTTGAGCTCTGGGAAAGCCTGCAGGGGCTCTTCATGTGCTTGGGGAACGTCACAAGCAGTCTTGCTGGGATCCGGGTTAAGACGACGGGGGTTTGTTAGCTTACAGTCTTGAGGGTTGGCTCAAGCGCAAAACGTGAAACTACTATAGTCGGAGGCCCTGCAAAGCCAGGAACAAACCTGAACACGTAAGATCCAACAATATTTAAATAACATGCCCTGATTTTTGATCCCATCCATGGGTTTAAGACAAGTGCAGCAGCATCCAAGGAAGGATGTCTTGCAGCATACCACACAAACCACCCGATACCAAGGACAACCTAAAGCCAAAACAGGTTCCCAAATACGCAGCACATGCGAAGTGCTGTGTAAGTCAGGGCTCAGCACAGACAGGAGAAGTCACAGCCTACTACCTACCGAAATGTGCTAATTTTTGCCGTGCCTGCGCTTTGGCTCTGGACTATCCAACACTATCCAACTCCTCGAAAGCATGGCTAAGGGCTCCTGCTCCTGCCAAGCCTTCGTGATCTACGAGCTTCGAGAAATAGGCCCTTGCAAGACTTGGAACGGACAGCTTCAAGAGATGCAGTGCTACATCGTAGGACTGATAGAGCTCATGCAAGAGCCATGCCGTACGAATGGCCTCTGTGGGAGACAGGGATCCCCACATACTGCGTACATAGATCGCATCTCCGAACATCTCGTGTGTGGCGAATCGATATAGCTCGTCTGTATGCAGTGGGCGCAGGACCAGGCCCCTGAGATCACGCAGGCGGTGGAAAGTGAATCCCCTCTGTCGCAGGAATCTGTCAACGTCGCCGAACAGTGGCTGACCTTCGTAAACATGCTCAAGAGACACTTCCACCTGAAGCACCAGTACGTTCCTGAGCATTTTTTCAGCACCTCCTAATGCATTCAGCTCTCCTCCCTGAATATCCAACTTCAAATAATCAATGCTCGTCAAACCGAGGTCATCCAAGCGGACAGTGCTCACGTTCTGTACTTGGAACAGCGAGCAGCCAGATGACACAAAATGGCGCCAGAGGCGTCTGCTAGGCTTGTACAATGAAGACAGCCAAGGAAAAGCTGGGTTGTAGTTGAAGCGATGCTTGCTACCATCCCCAACAAGCTTTCCTATGCAGTGCAGTCGTCCTCCGCAGTTGCTCCATGTTGGCGAAGACACGTTGAGACTGTCTTCAGCGCAGTTTTCCGGGCTGTCAAAGCCGTAGACTTCAGCACCATGGTGTAGCAGCACTCGCAGACCGTCACTGTGCGCATCACGAAAGGCACCCAGGCTCACAGCCCGCAGAGGCCGGAGAGTGGAAGCTTCAACCCCTTCTCTGTGATAAAAGTCCAGGATTGGAAACTTGGCTTGTGTCATAGACGTGCAGGTTATATTTGGAGGATCTGCCGCAGCTGCAAGGGAAATCAGGATAACTGCGCCTGGCAGTTTCATCCCTCGGATGCGCTGCGCGAAGACGAGTGCTCAAACACCAATGTACCAGCATGCGGCTTACGTGATATGGGGGCCGAAAAGATCAGGGACTTAGGGGATTTGTGTGCTCATTGACCCCAGGGCAGAATTGCAGTGAATAGGATAAGATAAAGGTGCCTGGAGCATTGCCGACAACAATCGTTGCAAGGGCCTGAGGGTAACTTGAGCGCTGTGTTCACTGTTGCTTAGCTTGCTAGCTTGCCGTGACCGCTTTCGAAGCAGATGCTTTGCAACATTCTGCAATCTTGAACCCAAGAACTCTGAGCATCACTGACCATGCCCTCAAGTGCAGATGCAAGCCGATTTAGTGGGCTCCTTGAGCTCTGTGATGTGTTGCTTCTACAGGGTTTTTGTGGTGCGGCCTGTGGGTCTAATTATGCCAAGGCCTGACAACTGCAGGTCTTCGGATCCCAACAATGTCGCATTGAGTAGCTTTCCAGAAAGACCTTGCTGACTTAGGATTGCAGAGCACTTGCCAACACACCATCAAACAACCACAGCCTCATAGATCACCCGCCTCATTTGCCCTGAAAAAGTGCCACCTGACGCCTCTACAACTCGACCCCCCGAGGATCGAAAGCCCAGGGACCTACCTCTGCTGTTTGAAGGGTTTCCCGAGCTAGAATCTGTTGGAACGTTGGAGAGATCACAAGAGTCAGGTCAGCCGGCGTTCAACAAAAGGCTCAACTCTTCAGACTGCACCAACAAGATGCACTAATGCATCCCGGCTTTAAGGTACTATTCTCGGTCATGCAGGCCAACTCCCGCAGTGCACCAGCCCTTTTGTGCTTTCCGGGCGCCTCCTTTATCACCTGCCCAACTCGTGAGGCGGTCCTCTCTAGGCACTTTGTGCACGGTACGAAGTCCACCATCTTAGGATGTTCCTTCGAGCGCTCTCATGGGACTTTCCCAATGCCTGGGTGCCAATCCAATTGCTGTGCGCGGTTTCCTGACGAATGTGCTGAACAAGGCGGAGTGCACTCATCATGGGTCGGAGGTATAGACTTCATAGTTGATACAGTTGCTGCATTGTCATTGATTCAAGCCGAGGCGGCTCTGGGTTCAGATAGTCGGATTCCTTGATCAACATCTTGGATCAATAGAAGATGAGGGAAAGATGGGCAGTTGACAACAACAAAGCGGCTTTGCTCCTGTGTCCGGAGCGCTGCAAGCTCCTACCTACATCGTTAGCCTGATAAGCATGCCGAGTGGGATTGAACGAAATGCCATTACTTGTAGAAACACGGGCGTGCAGCAACGCCAGTGAAGAAAGAGTCCAAGCACAGGCCTCCTCTGAGTCTAAAGCCATCATCCGACAACTCTCATGGGCCCTGCATTGGGAGACTCCCATACACCGAGCAAGCATCTTGGAAAACTCAGGTCAGGCAGAGGCTTTCAGGACTCCGGGGCACTCGACTAAGTGACTGTAGCTGGAGCTGATACTACGAAAAGCAACTTCAAAGGTGCTCAGCTCTCTGTATGCTATCAGAAGCTTACTCAGCATTACAACATCCTCTAGGCGTGCCCCCCCCGGGGTTGGAGTTTGCAGGGAAGGAACTAACCCACAACCAGACCAAAGGTCGGAGCCGTAAGACGGGGGGGGGGGGGGGAAGCGCCTGATCATCCTACGATCCGTGGACGTGGCCGAATGACGACCGTGTCGTCAGCATAGTCCTGTCTGCCGGTATTGAAATGTCAGGCTGCCGGAGGCTCGGCTGCCGGAGGCTGCCGGAGGCTGGCAGCACAAGTCACAAGCATGGCGGAAGGCTTGTCCCGTGAGCCTGGACTTGGTGTCATCCCTCTAAAACACCCTTCGCTAGAGAGGTGAAGGCTGCAACTTGAAGGTATGGGCCGGCATGGCCTCAAGGATGATAGCTGGATTCGACAGCACGTAGTTAGGTTGACTGCTCCTCCAGTTCGCGCCCTAAATTTGTTACAATCAATTGGGTGACTCACCCTGGCCTTAGCTGATCTCAAGAACAGAAATCTTAAGAATCCTAAGACGATAGTGCTGTGCTTCCATCACTCCATCCAACATCTTTGTTTTGACTTTTTAATTCAAGGTGATGGCTTTCGGGCGCGGCAGTTGGACTTACGACCACTTGTGAAAACCTTCCTGCTCTGAAGCAATGTTCACTGGGGTTCCTCTGACTGCTGCTTGCACGAGGTGCGCTTTGCTGTTTGGGACGGCAGCCGGAAGGGCTCATCCTGGCTCAGAACAGGCCGAAGCTCCATCGACGCCATGCAGACTGCGCGCTCAAGGCCGCAGGACTTTAGTGCGTGAACCTCTCAAACGGGGGGGATGCTTGGGGATTCCTGGAGGCATCTGAACTTTGCAACGGCTGGCCGTGTCCTACATCGGAAGTTATCATGGCCCTTGACGTTTTAATCCGTCAAGTCTCAAAGATCTCAAATGAATCGGCCTCAGTGGAGCTCGTGAAATCGAAGCTCCCTCAACAGGTTCAACAGGTTCAACAGGTTCAAGAGCCGGAGCCAGAACCCAATGAACCCAATTATGAAGGCAGTTGCAGGTGGAAGGCTTCCGGAAAGGCCATGGGGCCATGTAGTGTCAAGTGCCTGAAGATGGAGCCGTCCGCCAGAAGCCGCCCCCCAGAATCCCTAGAACATTGTCCTTGCATGTCCTTGCTGTCATTGACTTGAAGCCCACATTCTTGAAGGCTAAAGTCATGTCCGTTGTAAAGCCGCAAAGGTGTAAAGTAGATCGAGCATCTCAACTGCCAGGCACGCCTCTTCATGCCAGCTCTGGCTCTGCTCATTACCTCCAACGATACGCCCGATACGGCCTCTGCAACTCCTACTGTCAAGCTTCCTCTAAGGCCCGAAATGTTCTTGCTGCTGCTCATTGTGTATTTCGAGTCTGACTGCCCACAGCAGACCATGACGCTGAAGCCTGAATCTCCTGAACAATTGAAAGCCTCACTGGAAGGAGGCATCTACGCAGTGGTCCTACGTGTTCACCTCGCAGTGCTGTCGGCGCTCCACCACGATTTCCGTCAGTGTCGGGAGTTTCAAGGCGGAAGGACACCCCAAAAGAACCCGACTCCTGCTGCTTCGTTTAAGTCTAGGCTTGGATTCTGCGAGGTTGACCTGCAAGCAAAAGCATTCTTTGGAGAAGGCGATATATTGAGCCATACCGAGGCAGGGTCTTACGGTTCGATGCTCATGGGAGGACTGGGTGGTAGAAGGAGGCAGCCACGTTGTATCTGTGGTTGAGGGTTTCGCCACCCACAGCACTGCAACTGCTGCGATTGAAGGCACAGCATGGGTCCCAACAAACTCTTACAGGACTGACCCCTATGTCGGGAGTTGATGCACTCCTGGGAACATCACTGAATCTGGTGGCCTACAGTCGCTTGGCAGGAGCAACCTGCTGCCTGTCGCCTGCATTCACCGAGCCTTTCCGGAGGGTGTGCACAGCGAAGGTCGCATCCAGGCAAACATGTGAGATCGACTCCGTCTACCTCCTAGACTACCTGGCACTTGCATGGAAGGCCACTTTGTTGAAACCCTCACCAGGCTTCGAACAGCTCGAACCGATGATTGGAGGTGCGTTCCATGTTTGTAGTTCAATGCGTGTGTTGAAGACTTGCACACGACTTTAGTGCTCCAACAAAAATCAAGCCCTTCTTGCAGTAGTCAGTCTGCAGGAGATATTGTAGCCACAATACTTTGAAAATTGGCTGTGGCTATGGTTGGTCACGTCACTTGACGTCCTAGTGACTCAGGGCAGGATACGCAAGGTTTCTCGATCACTCGTTACGCTTCTCGACAGTCCGCCCAGTGGTGCGGCAATCCATCGACAGCCAGGCCTGCCTCAACAGTGTGTGTAGTTCAAATTTCGTTCTAGTGTTTCTAGTGGCTGTGTGATGTATTGTAGTTATGTCTTGAAGGTGGTGAGGGTGCTGTCCAAGTTGATTTGCAGAGCTCTTAAGAGCTCTGCTGCATCTAACACGTATCGGTTTAGTGACCATGAGAAGTTTGAATATGGGACAACAGGCAATAGTGTGTTGCGCGTCTTCTGCTGGGTTTGCGAAGTGTCGCGTCTGGATGTTGCTTTGCTGAGTAATGTTCGGAATGCATCCAGAGAAAGACCTACGAGTAAAAGACTCAAGTCCGGAGATTGTGCAGCGGAAGGGCCTTAGACATTGAGCCATGCCCAGCCTGTCGAGCAGTGCATCCTAACAACCCGCAGTCGCAAGCAGCGCCTACATTAGGTCCGGCGTCCAACGTGGATGCCGACCCAAAGTTCGCAGCAAAGCTATATGCGCGTCCAAACAACGTCATGAGATCTCCACTCCGGCACCCCACACGAGACGAAATGACAAAGGCTGACGAGTCGAAGGATCAGGGTGCAACTGTTGCTCCGGAAGTGGTTTCCTTTGCAGAAGATCTCGACATCGCTTTGCATCCCAGGCGAGCGGCTTGTCTAATCGTGGGGCGGCCTACGCAGATATTTCGGAGTACTGAGGTCCATTCAAAACTCCACAGCCTACATAGTCCCGAGAAGAACCAAATAATGTCCAAAATCCAAATAGCTCATCCGGTCTGTCCAAGATCATTGGGTACGTCGAAACATCAACTCAAGGAATGGACCACGCATCTCCAACACTCCTAGTGACTCCTAGTGTGCTTGGCATGCCTTGTGATAGCAGGCGGCATCCGGCGGGCTCCAGAAAAGGTGACAGTGACAAGGTAGCATGTGGGGTCTCTCCATGCCCTGTCCACAACAGGGTTTATGTGTGTAATGTGTCCAGCAATCGTGACGGGCATTAACACATCAAGCCAAGTAACGAACATCATGGCGTTCATGTGTGTGTGACTATGTGCAAACACATGCACACATACATGCATACAGCTCCCCTGAAAAGGCCTAATGCAAAACAGGGGTTGTAGACCGGACAATTTGTTTGACCTATGTAATCTAACTAAGCTTAAGACACTTGACCTTATTTGCATTCAGTATTTGAATTGACGCCGCTAGAGCCAGCTGAAATGGATACTGTATATGGTTCAGCGGTTTGTCAACCAACAGAGAAGTGCAACCCGAAGCAATTGACACACGCGCACACACACACACACACACGCACACACGCGCACACACACACACACACAAACAAACAAGCAAGCAAACAAACAAACAAACAAACAAACAAACGATCAAACACCACCACAAACACAAACACAAACACAAACACAAACACAAACACAAACACAGACACAGACACAGACACAGACACACACACACACACACACACACACAAGTGCGTGCACACTGTATGTATATAGAGGGGCATGCCTAATTCATACCTCATGCACATGTTCACTTAACTATCTATGCTACGTACTCTTCTGTATCTAAACATGACAAACCTCGAACATACCCTTGATCTCGATGGCCACTGGTTTTTCTAACACGTACTTTCATCCGTCTGGCAGGGGGTCCTGTTTGGACCGGCTTCCGGTTTGACATAAACTTGTCTGCATGTACCCACCCTCAGTGGGTAGATGTATGTTGCGGAGTTGACCTCACACTTCTATGAGCTCACTTGACTCGTTGCACATTCACCTTCTTGATCGTTTACAAACAGTTAACGTTTGGCTCAACAAATGCTGCGCGCAGGCTACCATGAACTCAAGCCCCAGAATCGAAGATATGACAAAAGACTGCATGCACCGCATGAAGCCAACACTGGCGCGACCGAGTGTTTGGGAGACAGGTTACATAAGTTACATAACATCTACATTATCTACACGTGAAATTTCCGCCCTCGTGGTTTAAGTAGAGCACTCGCAGGTTGATGTGTATACTCATACCATCTATACAGCCCAGGAGCCAGGACCATGCTCATACTGATACTGCTGATGCTGACATGCAAGCTCCTCTCAAAAGAGTGAGACACGAAAGGCTGGAAGCCCAACAGGGCCAGGAAGAGCAGCTCCCACGACCTAATCGGAAGTCCTGAACCACAAGCTCACGCGTGTCAACTTAGATTTTCGAAATTAGGGCTTCAGGTGTTCTCTCCATCTCTCCATCTCTTTTTTCAGCTTTGTTGGGGTGGTTCGGTGGCTGCGTCAGCGTAGCCTGGCCCTAGTGGGCTGTGATATCAGGTGGCTGCAAGCGTCTTTAGTTAAAACCACCTGCCGAACATGGCACCACGGGTCAACGCCCACGCCACAAGAAGCAGGTTGAATTAGGACGCTGGCACCTGACAAAATGGCCGAATCTCCCTCGAAGCATCATTGAAGGGTTTAAGGCTTTTCAATCCCCAGACATGTCTCCTCGATTCTCCTCGCTTCTTTAAGCAGCATGCACCTGACGGTTTTCGGCTGCTCGAACCTGATCCGGCATGCAACCTCGTCGCCCTTAATTAATTGTTGTCGTGAAATGGGGCCTTCCTTCCTACGCGATCCAGGATTGGGCCAGAACATTGTGCAAAACAAATGTCCGTGTACCAGATGATCATTCTAACCTCAATTGCAAGTGCGTCTTACCTGTGCATGTATTAGAAAGCGACCGACGCGATGATGAAGATGCTGCTAACCTTACTGTATGGTTGCTGACGTATGCGCCCTTTATTGTTTCAATATCCCAACTGACGCTTCGAATGAAGGAGACACGCGCAGAGCACCGCGAGGCTGGGCGTTGATGACCATCAGTGAAAGGCATGCAGACATCTCAGGCAGCAGCACACATAGTGCACACAGGTTAACCTGCCCATTGCACTCGGAAGTACCCAGGGCTGACTGCCATGTTTTTGCCATCACGCCTTCACTGTTACAGGCAGACTGAAGTGTCAGAGATCAAAAAAGCGTTCCCGAGCCTAACAGAAAGTGCTCAGAATGCATCTCAGCGTGAGTAATACTGGCTAAAAAACCCATAGCTATCAGGCTGCATCAGCATCACCACTAAGACAAACACTAACATAAGCCAATGGTTACCCTCTATCGGTTCGCACCCGATGAAAGCTTCCGATCGGCCTTTGTGCGACCGACCTTGGCACCTCGAACCAAAACCTTAGAGTCTCCCTTTCGGTCCGGCACGCTCTGATCAGGAAGGGTCGTCACACTGTACAACAGCACCTGGAAAAGCTCGGGGTAAAGATGGGCTGACAAAACGGTTGAGCTAGAGTTCGGGGTTGGGAGCGGCTTCCGAGGGCAGAGCTGAAGCTTCAACTTCTTTCCGTTGCAACTGAGTTCCCTTGCTGGATGGTTGTGGTTACCGTGATCAAGAATAATGACCATGCCGTGTCTACGAGAAGCGGATGAAGAGAACGAAGCTCAGAGCTTACTGGCTGTGCAACTTGCGAATGCATGCACCAAGACTGTAAGCCACTTCTTGCATTGCATGGCACTTTCAGCCTCAACTCGCTGGGGCATAAGGTCCGAAGGTTGTTGTCGAAGGCTATCGAAATCTGGCCGTAGCCTACATTTACATGCCTCACAAAAATTGCCCTCAATTGTAAGCACAGCGCGCAGAGGTATCGATCAGTGCAGGTAAGCAGCTCGAAATAACGATGCAGCTTCGCTTTGCCTCTGCGGTATGTGGAGATGGCAAGGAGGACTCAAGGAACATCATACGCAGTTTAACGTTCTTGGACAACTACAGATGTAAGAAGCGCATTTGGGCCTCTTGTGGCATGCTTCCCTGCCTTTGTAGTTTGTATACCTTTCTTGCCCTGCTTGGAGCTCAGACTTCACAGCTGCAAACGCTGATTCAAGTGTTGCTCACCCAGCCTCCTTCTGCACTAGGCGGCAGGAAACTCTCTGACCTGGAATCATGGTGAATGAAGCTGGGAAGTTCGTGCTGCCCCCGACTTTATTCCAAACATACATTTTCCCACACCCAAGCTCAGTACCAGAACTCCTTGAGAATTAGCTCGTAATTGTAACAATTTTCTAGTCGTAACTCTTTTTCTTGGGGGGGAGGGGGGGGGGAAGGGAGGGGTGTTGAAATGAGGGGGCATTGACTAGATGCTACGAAGCCCGGTTGACGCGAAATGTCATCATGCTACAGGAACGGCGATCGCCAGAGTGACTTGCAAAGCTGTCAAGCTTCAAAAAGTTCCGCCGAACAACCTGGCCTGCCATGTGTTGAAAGTCCGGCCTGCACAGACTGGATTCTCCAAAACCGCAACCAGATGAGCCAGCAAGGTATCCAATGCATGGAACTGGAAATGCGAACTGCAGCAGATGAGTGAGCAGGGTTCTGTTGGAAGGAGGTGGCTCCATTCGCTCTTTTCTCTTTCTTGCGGCTATAGCCCAATAGCTGCACGGGACCTGGACCCCTGACTAAGGCGAGTCTTTGATTCTTCGGGAAATAGGACCCCCCCATTCCCATGAATCTTATCGTTTCCACCTTCCCCCCAACGTGCCGGCTGCCTGTGTGACGCCGATGCATGACTGCTAGTCTTGACTAGCTCGGGTACAGTACTCCCCCAACAATTCGTACACATGAAGCCAGTCTCTCCCTTCTTCTTCTTCTTCTGCCGCACGCTTGAGGGGACCCCCGACAAAAGGTCCCCGGTCTCTCTCTCTCTCCCTCTCTCTGGCTCGGTATTGTTGGCTCTGGAGCAGACGAGAAAGAACGTTGGGCATAGAAAGACGAGGGTTGCCGAGAGGTGGCTTGATGGAGACCTGCATGACTCCACACCGGAACTCTTGACTCACAGGCCAGCAAGCCCTGCGCGAAGCCAAAGAAACAGCAGATGATAAATTCTCGAAGAGCCCCCCGCGCCTTGAGCCTTTCATCTCATGCAGAACCGTCCCACGGTGACACGAAGGCACCGTGAGGTACGGGACAGAGTCTCAGCTTCGGTCTTCCGCCTGGCACAAGGGCGCCACGAAAGAACACGAAAAAGCTTGGAGCACAACCCGAGCCCCCTGAGCATGACATAGCAACATAGTAGCACTTGAGGCACTGGAATGATGGCAGCTAATGTGGGTGAAAGCAGGACCGCATCCCCGGAATGCACTACGTTGAAGGCCCTTCACGCGGCCGAAATGATTGAAGAAAGCGCCAACCGAAAAGCTGCTTGCAGATCTATAAGCTGTTGATTTGCACAATGATCAGGCCGGCGACTAGGTGACTGCGATTATCTCTGACTCATACAGACTCTTTTGCATATCAAAAGCTTGCGCTGACCTCCAGCTGCTGAGCCAACTCTATCAAGTTGGGCCCATCAGGGACAACGCGGGAGGCAACCTGTCCAGCAACGCCCGCAGCCACAAAATCACATGGATTAGGCGCAACACGCGCAGTATCGCTTTCAACTCAGCTACCGTTTGGTTCACCATGGCAAGTCCGCCTCACATGATGTCTGATCAAGACATTTGGAATGTTCATTGCCGCACTTGCAAAGCAATCTGAATGCACGTCGACAAGAGTGTCTCACTCCATCCGAAAGGGACTCCTTGCAACACCAAACAAGGTTTAAGGGCAGCACCTCACGAATCTTGGCTGGGTGGCCTGCTAGACCTGGGCACTGAACATTTCAGCTACAGGGTTCGAAATGTTAGGCAGGGAGTTGCTGTTGAAAGTCCTGGTCGCGCCCAGCCCTGTGCCTGTACAAAGGGCAATGTTCACTTGCCATGAAGAAACCCCCCCTCCGCCCTGATTGATTCAATCTCTCTGGTGGGGGCCGCAAAAAAAAAACAATTGCAGAGGGTTTGGGGAGGGGGTTGTAGTCTTGTTTGTGGGGGGGGGGGGGGGGCTTGCCAGAATATGACAGGAAAACCCACTCGGTGATGGTTGATTCAGCGACATTCCTTACAGGGATGGTTTGAAGATTGTACATGTAGCTTCAACACGCTACGAAGGTCAGGCAAGACACCGAGCCTATTGTATGTGGATATGTCATCCGCAAAGCCGTTCTGTTGATGAAGGGAGTGGAAAGAACCAACTTGTTGCAACTCCGAACGAACTCATTTTGTCCAAGGTAAACATACTATGCTGTTCCCACTGAGAAGAGGCGCATGAGTATCCAGAAAGACGCAGCAGAAGTATGAAATAGCTCTTCCAAGCAGTAGTAGGTGGAGGAGAAGTAATAGTAGTCGTCGTCATCGTCGTCTTCATAAGTCATTGAGTGGGGTATCTGCCTAAGCTGACGCAGAAATGGTACAGAAACAGATATGACCGCCCCACTCCCCAAACACAGGTAAGTATTGATTCCCAGACTCCAACACTGCAGAAACAAACTTGAACCAACCCGAAGCTTTAACACATTGTAAACGCTTACGCCCGCCACCTCGGCAGCCGGGCCGGCCCACAGGCCAAGGCCCAGGACAGGAAAGGAGTTTTCAAATAAAAGGGGGGTCGCCGGGGGGGGTCCCAGGAAAGGTTCCACAGAGGGGCCCCAACAAGGATCCCAGCACGGTCCCAGAAAGAGGGGTGTGATAGGGGTGTTGGAATTGGAAACAACATGGAAACAACATCAACTTTGCTCAGTGTTAATGACTAGTGTTGCTGCGCGTTTAGCCACCAACTTCTTTGCTGGAATTTATTCATTGGATGTCTCGTGGCATCGGCAGTGAGCTTACATCCCAAGGTACAGAGCAACACTACTCAGACCGAGTGGCGGTGGAGCAGGGGATGGCCCTTCAATCTCTGGATGGCAGCTTCCTGATCAAACGCCATGGGGATGTGGGGTTTGGGATTGGGATCTCTAACCGGATCAGCCAAACCAGCGACCTGGTGTTGGTGCGCATTGAACAAGTACATGTCTAGTTGTCAAGTTGTAGGACTTGGGAAACAAGGTGTTGATGTAAACTCTTCGCTGTCGAGTCCGGACATACGTAATACATCGTAATACGTCCAGCAGCCTAAGTGCCATGTGATCTGCGTCCCATTCAGGCTTCCAAGAGAAAGTGCCGCATCTCATTAGAAGCTTTGCTTGCCATAATGAAGTACTTGCCATCATATACTAGTAACCCCCAGCTTCACTGTTACTACTGCCAATAGTCTAATGTGCATGTAGATACTCTTTCAACTCTATCGCATGGCGACTACGATTCTCTCCACAGGCAGACACAGTCCAAAAGTCAGAAAGAGAGCGCCTAATGCACATGGGCTGCTTCTTTCACTTTCACTCATACAGACTCATACATCATACACTGCGTACGAGTCCATTGTTCAACCTCTCTACTTCAGTGTGGAAGCTCCTATGACCAATCCGACTGGCCATGAGGGTCACGCTGGTCCGATGCCGCAAACTCTGCACACAAATTCCTCGCGAATCTGGGGTTGGCACCAGCACCCCGCGAGGAATCGATGGCGAAGGAGCCTTTGCAGAGGAAGTGTTCAGCACTGCTATTATCCGTCACTAGTGGCAACACGCTGCCGCCTGCCTGATTTTCATAAAGGGAACTGAAAATCCCCGTCATTCACTTCCGTTCCCGCAATGACTTCAAGCACGGCCCACACATTGCTCACGCGCAAAGTAACCAAAGCAACAGTGCTAGTGAGTGTGTTCGTGTTTCCAATCATGTGCAAATAGAATGGAAGGTGCTCTTTGTGAGCATCGCGTTTAGGTAGCGCAACCTCCCTTCGTCAAAAGTCTAAGTCTATGTCGAACGATGATGCCAGGTCCTAACAATCCCAAGTCTGCTAAGGTTGTACAAGTGGATCTGCAGTTAAGTGTCCTCAAGTCCGTGCACAACAAGTATGCCAAGTACGAGTAGTACAAGTTGTAGCACCCATTTCTCGGCTCTGGACTCCTCCGCCTGCATCTGCACTCCCCATGGGATCCGCCGGGAAGTCTTGCGCTTCCAGCTTCCTGCACAGATGCTGCAAGGAGCTGCAAGGAGCTGCAAGCTTCATGAAGTGTTCTTCTTGGCGGCCATCTGCGAAGCCTTGAAGCGAAGCCTGTAGCATCACACTTATCAATGGTTGCTGTAGTGCGGCTTGTTGGTGACCCTTCGGGCTTTGTGCGCCGTCCTTGTTGCGTCAAGGCTATGCGGCTACGCGTTTGGTCTGCTGTGCATACTTCTCCTGTGCACCACGGTATCAACGCAAACTTGCTGGAGCGAAGAAAGCAAGTAAGTTCTACGGACATCGCAGCCACACCGTGCGAGGCGAATTCCGGGGAAGGGAGTGTGTTTGAGGCGTTCGACTTCTTCGTTGGGTGTGTAGGTGTATGCTGTGAGTCCAACGCGATTACATTTCGGTGAGCGTTTGTCGGGCAAGTTTATGCATTTACACCGGCGAGTGTCTGCATCATGTTGGGGAGTTTCCCTTGTCAGGGTGCTTTCAAACATGGATTGGCTGTTTCCGACCCGGCTCGAGGTCGGATTTTGTATCGCAATCTTCAAATATTACAAGTACCCACACTCTACCAAAAAATGTCGAGGCAAGCCCATGACATCTTCTGGCCGCCGGCTTGCAACCTTACAATCCCGTCAAAAGATCTGGGTTCCATAACCAGAGGAGGCGTGACAAACGATGTCGGCACTTGCCGGGGGGGGGGGCTCCAAAGCCCATGCAAGATCGAGCCTCTTGTTGGAGGGCATAGCCAGCTAGTCTTGGAGTCCGCATGCTGATTTTCTGACACTCATTAGTGCGAGCTTCCACACTCTGTTCCAACCTCTTCTTCCATGGTGCGCGGGTTTGCGCCCAGTCTCTGCAATACGGACACGCCATCCCTTCCGGTGTCAGGCCGCCACGGTCTTAGATGGTCTTACTGAGTCACAGCAACAAAGGCTATTTTTCTGAGGAATCTTGAGGATACTAGACGATACAGATGTGATGCCTAGAAAGCTGGCTACAACCCCCAGAAGTGGGACCACCCATGCGAATCCTGAAGCCATCTCCTGTCCTGTGCATGCGCTGCAGGAAAAGCTTTGCAGCATCATACTCTTCTAGCCCAGGGAGGGCGACGTTCACCACCTGCAGATCAAGCGAACTGCAGGATCCATGTGGCAGACTTAAGGTTGTCTTTCGAGGCCATACCCGCGTATACCCGCCTTGCTCGGTCCAAGCGAACTGTAGATGGGCGTCCGGGAAAGGACGAGGAGGTGCAAATGGCACCTCGGATTGGGAACAACGACACCTCACATGACTCCGCCTCCGTGGGCAGCATGACAGCAAAGACAGGGCAGCCACGTATGCTCCAACAGCTCGCCGAACAGCTTGCGAACATCGCTGCTGGTGAAGGCACCCACCTGTCCGTGGGCAACATCTGGGGTATGCGATGCTGCGTCAGCCCTTTACTGCTAAAGCCTACAACGTTTGGATGCCCGGGGCTTGACATTTCGAAGTTGATGACAGGATGAAGCTGATGCTCTAATTCAGGCACTGCCCGCCATGCTTTTTTCACTGTTTCCCAATTCTGCCAGCCGAGACCCCAAACTGTGAGAGACCACGTGAGCCCAGAAGTCCAGAAAGCCAGGACAGTTTCATATTTTGCGAGCCCAGAAGTCCAAACGCGCTGACGGTTGTGAGCTCACGGCTTCTACTCGCCAGCTAGCATGTCTGATCTAACATTCTCGGCTAGTGATCTTTTGGGCTCTCTCCTCGACAAACGCCAGAAAACAATCTTCACCGTCGCGTGTAGACCAAGAAAAGCTCAAAGCTCCAAATACTCACGCAAACCGGCGCTTCGCAAACGAGGGGTCTATGTAACAGATGTGAACAGCCTTTTAAGTGCACAGAGAGGGTCAACTAACAGCTCTGGGCGCTGAAGGACATGTTCTGCCTCATCGTCCACAACCAGCAGCACTGGGGCCTTTCGGCGCACACGCTCGATCTGCCGGAACCTGTCGTCTGAGGGACGGCTTCGCACAAGCTCACACTAGGTAGATGGCCGCGGGTTTGAGAGCTTGAAGCATGTAAATTCGCTTCGGCCTCCGGCCTGATGGCCTAGAGGTGTCTGGGAACAAAGAAACCAATTCCGAGTTCGCTTGGGGGAGCAGCAATTTGGTGCCATCCGGGGGCCGGCAACAAGCACACGAGCACAAAATCACGAGTGCACCGAAGGCTTTGCACAGCCTGCTGACCTGCTAACACTAGCCTTCAGGGGTCCTCCAAAAACCCTATGCTAGCCCAATGCGTCCCCAAGCTCACATACGCTGCGGGCTCAAGGTTCGGGTTTACTGATCGGTCTACTCTCCGGCATCTTTTTCCTCGACCGGCGCGCGGACTGGAAACTTCGAGGTGCACCGCTTGGACTGCCGACGTGCACGTGCCGTGGCTTAGGTCGACCTGGCCGCCCAGGCGGCGTGCGCTTGCTGCATGACTTTCCACAAAGCTCCCAGGGTAGATTCTAACATACCCACCCGTGCATGACGTGCAGGGCAAATGGTGGTGCACAGAGTGCACGCTGCCTTCCTCCAGCTTGATTGACCAAGCTCTCATGTAGGCCAACAAGGAATGCTCGTCGTGGGAACATGAGCTAAACGTGCCGCACGGTGTGTACAGTCTTCTCTGGCATTCTGAGGAAGACCCACTAGTTCATGTTGCCCGAAGTGGAAACGGACCATGGTTGCTGTCGCCACATGGCTGTATAAGTCCCCGCGCTGCATTCTTGCAGATGAGGAAATTGTTCACGCACCAAGACAAGTGGTGGTGCACAGAGTGCACACTGCTGTGACTTGTCGTGTCGATGTCTAGGCAAACAGTGGCGCGCGGCGTGTACAGCCTTGTCTGGCATTCTGAGGAAGACCCACTAGTTCATGTTGCCCGAAGTGGAAACAGACCATGATTGCTGTCGCCACATGGCTGTATAAGTCCCCACGCTGCATTCTTGCAGATGAGGAAATTGTTCACGCACCAAGACAAGTGGTGGTGCACAGAGTGTACACTGCTGTGACTTGTCGTGCCGGGGGTCCTCTGCCAGCTGAGTCGATCAAGCTCTCATGCAGGACAACAACGCGCAATCGTCGTGGGAACATGAGGTAAGCAAGCCACTCGCTAGGCAAACGCTGTGGCATTCTGAGGAAGACCCACTAGTTCATGTTGCCCGAAGTGGAAACAGACCATGATTGCTGTCGCCACATGGCTGTATAAGTCCCCGCGCTGCATTCTTGCAGATGAGGAAATTGTTCACGCACCAAGACAAGTGGTGGTGCACAGAGTGTACACTGCTGTGACTTGTCGTGCGGGGCTCTTCTGCCAGCTGAGTCGATCAAGCTCTCATGCAGGACAACAACGCGCAATCGTCGTGGGAACATGAGGTAAGCAAGCCACTTGCTAGGCAAACGCTGGCGCACGGGTGCGTACAGTCTTCTCTGGCATTCTGAGGAAGACCCACTAGTTCATGTTGCCCGAAGTGGAAACAGACCATGATTGCTGTCGCCACATGGCTGTATAAGTCCCCGCGCTGCATTCTTGCAGATGAGGAAATTGTTCACGCACCAAGACAAGTGGTGGTGCACAGAGTGTACACTGCTGTGACTTGTCGTGTCGGGGTCTAGGCAAACGGTGGCGCTCGGCGTGTACAGTCTTCTCTGGCATTCTGAGGAAGACCCACTAGTTCATGTTGCCCGAAGTGGAAACAGACCATGATTGCTGTCGCCACATGGCTGTATAAGTCCCCGTGCTGCATTCTTGCAGATGAGGAAATTGTTCACGCACCAAGACAAGTGGTGGTGCACAGAGTGTACACTGCTGTGACTTGTCGTGCCGGGGGTCTTCTGCCAGCTGAGTCGATCAAGCTCTCATGCAGGACAACAACGCGCAATCGTCGTGGGAACATGAGGTAAGCAAGCCACTCGCTAGGCAAACGCTGGCGCACGGGTGCGTACAGTCTTCTCTGGCATTCTGAGGAAGACCCACTAGACTAGTTCATGTTGCCCGAAGTGGAAACAGACCATGATTGCTGTCGCCACATGGCTGTATAAGTCCCCGCGCTGCATTCTTGCAGATGAGGAAATTGTTCACGCACCAAGACAAGTGGTGGTGCACAGAGTGTACACTGCTGTGACTTGTCGTGTCGGGGTCTAGGCAAACGGTGGCGCGTGGCGTGTACAATCTTCTCTAGCATTCTGAGGAAGACCCACTAGTTCATGTTGCCCGAAGTGGAAACAGACCATGATTGCTGTCGCCACATGGCTGTATAAGTCCCCGCGCTGCATTCTTGCAGATGAGGAAATTGTTCACGCACCAAGACAAGTGGTGGTGCACAGAGTGTACACTGCTGTGACTTGTCGTGCGGGGGGTCTTCTGCCAGCTGAGTCGATCAAGCTCTCATGCAGGGCAACAACGCGCAATCGTCGTGGGAACATGAGGTAAGCAAGCCACTCGCTAGGCAAACGCTGTGGCATTCTGAGGAAGACCCACTAGTTCATGTTGCCCGAAGTGGAAACAGACCATGATTGCTGTCGCCACATGGCTGTATAAGTCCCCGCGCTGCATTCTTGCAGATGAGGAAATTGTTCACGCACCAAGACAAGTGGTGGTGCACAGAGTGTACACTGCTGACTTGTCGTGCGGTCTTCTGCCAGCTGAGTCAATCAAGCTCTCATGGAACATGAGATAATCAAGCCCCCTGCAAGGCCAACGGTGCGTGCAGACTGTTCTCGCACGGCTGTATAAGCCCCCCGCGCTGCCGGAAGTTTTGTTGGCTGAGTCAATCAAGCTCTCATGCACGCTAACTATGTGGATTCGTCGTGTGAAGACAAGCCCTCGCGGCCAATTAAGAAGCTAAGTGGAACATACCCTGCTCGCCGCCGCCAAGAATGCTACCAAATCCATATATATATATATATATATATATATCTTATGTCCGCCATGTCACGATTCCGGCGCTTTGTGTTGGATCCGCTCTCAATGCCTTTGCCTTTGTTAGATACACCCTCAGCCCCAACATCATGGGGTAATGGTGGCAGCAGTGCCCACGGCGGATACGCTGCCGCACGGGCAACAAACTGGACATCAGCTCCTGCAGTGACAACAAGAGATTCAAGCTGGGTTGAGGTGTGCCTGCTGCGGCATTAAGGCGTCGTGCGCGAGATGCTTCCATGGTGTGTAGGGAAGAAGATAAGATATCCTGCTCCTACGAAACTACTACTACCACGACCACGACCCATACCACCACCACCACCACTGCTGCCGCCACCACCACCAACACCACTACCCCCACCACCACCGCCGCCACCGCCGCTGCTGCTATGACGACTTCAGCAGCTTCCAACATGCCCGCCTGGTCGCTTCCGAGATGCATCGACGCGCTGTTCGCTACCTCGGACCTGCCAACAGACGATGGCTCCGACTGGCCATGGCCAGAATAAACTACTAAAAATGGGGAACACCTTTTTCCTATGTTTACTCGAAATTGTATTCTTCTCGTGTCTTTTCTGACAAAACCAGCTCTGGGGAGGTTCCAAGCGATGTATGCGACAGCCAATGAATGCGCATTACGCTCCTAGAATCCCAGAACCCATTGGAACACCACTCAGCAAGCTAGGCGCCATCGTTCAACCATACGGTGACATACCAACTACACTTCCAAGAAGAGGATGTGCTCCCAGATCAGACGGACCATTTCTGCAAGTGGGAACTTAACCCTGAAGCCCAGCACTCATGCACAGACCGCCACTACTCACTCTGGTCCAAAGGTTTGGTGCCTAAGCGAAGGGTGTGCCGCTCTCTGGCAGCTCCCGGAGCTACTTTACATGATCGGAGGATATTGCTAACTAGCAGTCGTGCCTGAGTACGCGGCTGGACAAACCTCAGGTGCCTTGTTGCAACTGTGAGGCCTGATGTTTCTAGGTTGACTCTCTGAAAGCAAAAGGTTTTTACATGTGCGGCCCGTGCTCGACGGTTAAGCCCACATGCTCTTCCGCTGCTCCGAGTTTCGAGGGTTTAGGGTCGATTCCCAGTGATCCACACAGCAGCAAAGCAGTCTCTTTGTTCCCCCAGTTCTACTCCTCTGGACGGATGGATCATTTGAGGGATTTCCCGAGGCAGGGCACCCTTCTGGCCCTCGCACAAGTTGCGCTTCCTAGACTAGACTGCCTAGGCTACGATGCTGTGCCATGCCAAGGGCACCCATCCACCGGAGAAACCGACTCATTTTTGCTCTATCTGGACACAGTGCCAAATTCAACCCGAGCGTTCTCAGAGAAAAGCAGAGCATGCATTGTTCGCCGAAATGTCGAGTCATTCACCTGACAGAATGCAAGTTCGCCACCGCGTGGACTCTGACAAGCACTGCTCCCTTTTCATGAAACCGCGCATGCTTCTCAGATACTCTCCATTTCGCAGCCCTAACACAAGAACCTAAGATCTAAGAACTGCCATAGAAAGAAGTAGAAAACACTGGTGACGGCTGAAGTTAGAAATCCTGAAACCCGAAGTTGCAACCAGCTGCCGCCAGCAAGTGCTCGTGTGCCAGGAAGATGATCTTGCCAAAGCCAGAGTCTACGTGAAATCCCCCGAACCTCTTAAAGGCAGACGCCCAAGGCGGCCCAAGCGCTCCCTGAACCCCGGCGGTGGTTCCGCCGCCCCTGGGCCGCGCCCAGGCCACGCGCGAGGACGTGATCGCCAATCGTAGAACTTCGATCAGGTGCTCGATGTGTCCACTTCGAGAACCTGAGATACTGAAAGGATCATACTCAGCCAAAAGGCCCTGACCATTGCAAAGAGCCCTTGGCCTTAGTGGGGTTTTGATGGCTACCCTCTGAAAGGGCCGCGCCCATAAACAGGGTGAGAAGAGTTTACCACAGGAATTCACAGGACCCAAATTCTAAAGACTGCCATATCTCTGACCAGTCCATGACACTATGGCATGGAACGTCGAGTGTTGCATATTCAGATGGCGAGGAACAACCACAAAAGTGAGTTTGTCGGCATCGGCGTTAAGGAAATCCCACTCCTCTTCTCCTGAAACGATTCACAGGCACAGCCATCATGCCGCTGATTGGTGTGAGGGCGACGAGAACTTGGCCAAATGCTACTACTGTCGAACTGTGTTGCACTTTCGAGGACCTATCTGTGCAGGAATGGCAGCTGTAAGACGTGGGAATCACGGGACATGACTGCAAGGGCTGGCCAACTGTGCGCTGGCCTCTCAAAGCTTGTAAGGGCGCCGGAACATTGCAAATCTGCTTCTCCGCAAAGTTATGCTGAATGAAGGGCGACGTCTGCTTGGATACTGATCCTGTGACAAAAGCATGTGGTTGATTCGACACACCATTATGCCAGCCAAAATGCAGGCATGCAGATATCCAGACAGAGACATACGCCTAGCTCAGGTCAAGGCAGCAGGTCCTTCTTCGCCAAGAGTAACTCGAAACTTTAGCGTCGGTTGTGTGCAGTCGTTGATGCTTTGGACGCATCCTGAGCGCTGAGAACGCTGGAAGGGAGACACATGTTGCATGCCATCTCGAATGTCCGGCGGAGGGTCTCAGCATTCAAGCACATGCCTGCCCTCATGTCATACTGCTGTCTGTTGCAGTTGGGATGCTCAGTGCCACATATCCTTTCCCCTTGGCTTTCTTGAACGAAGAACCTGAGGCTGAGCACACTCCAACATACGATTCAGGTCATGGGTGTCATAGACAGAGACAGACAGAGAGAGAGAGAGAGAGAGAGAGAGAGGGAGAGAGAGAGAGAGAGCGAGACAGAGAGAGAGAGAGAGAGATAGAGAGAGAGAGAGAGATAGAGAGCGAGAGCGAGCGGGAGGGAGGGCAAAGGACAAGAAGAGGTCAGTGTCCAGAAAATCACAAACAACTCGGGAGAACCATTCTGGAGGTGGAATGCCCTCAACACGTTGCACGCCACAGGTTCGGCATTCTGTTTGTTACCTTCAAGGGCCGTTCCACAGAATTAGGCATGTCCATGGCTGCAGGAAGCTGCAAGCTGCATCAGGAAGTATGGCTCCTTGCAGGACTTGTAATTAGCAGGGGCGCCCGCTTGTTACGAGCTTTCCTGCTGTGACCGACAACTACTAACTAACTGCTATCATGCCTCGAGAGCTGGAGAAACAAGCCCTCCCGATGCCCTTCGACTAACATGTGGGGCCTCGTAACCCAACCCGGCAAATATGCAGCCAAGATAACAATGGCGGTTGGACGACACTGACCTTTGCAATGGGAGCCGAGGACAAAATCACCAACTGTTGCTGCCGAACCACAAGATGATTTAGTTTTTGCAACCTTTCTCCCGCTTTGGCAGGCTTGTTGTTGGGCTTGCGAGATACGTGCTTGCGGAGAGTGACACGTCTCTTCTGTTTTGGAGGGCCTGGCCAGCAAACAGTCGAAGACCATCACCATGGGAGCTGGCATTAGTTCCGTGAGCCCTGGGGGAAATGAACCCGTCATTCCTGGCCGCCAGTGTTTCCACTTGGGAGCTCAGATGACAAGAATAAGGATCCTTGCGGTTGGAAGCACTCCCCTCCCTACATCTGAATCCCAGATCCGAAGCGCCCATTGCATATGTGGCCAGGGCTCGTTGCAAAAAGGTTCAGTTTGAACTCAACGTCGCGGCTGCCCATCGGGATGCGAAAGGACGGCGAGACCTCCAACAGGCCATATCTACTACCACAACAAGCTGCAGCGGCACAGCTTAATTGAGCTCAGCCTCGAGCTGAACCAAAACACCCCAAAAAAAGTGCTGAGCATTGCTGAAGAACTCTTGAATTGTGGTGAGGGTTTCGGCAGGTGGCAGGCTGCCCAGGCCCACAAGGTACTCTTTGTTCAAGTACTTATCATGGTTTTCAGGAAGCGAGGGCAGCCTCAAGAGCTGCTGTAAGGTTTGGTCAGAAAACCAGAAGTCGAGGGTATCCCCTGGCCAATCGGGTTCTGCATCGCTGGCCCTAGAACAGAAACCGGCCTAAGACGTAGCATAAACCGAGCTACCGGGCTGCAACAGGGTTTTCGGGTTGAAGCTTACAAGCTGCTCATGGCCCAAAGTGGCGCTTAGCATGCTTAGGCTTAGCCAATGCGCCAGATTTCCTCAGGTGCTAGTGTCCCCTGTTTGTAAATCAATAGATGGCTTTATATGAACGATTCTTGAGGCCAACCAGCAGCAAGACTTTGCTATTCGTGGTAAGTGTTTAGGCTGTTTAGGATTCAGAGGGCTAGTTGAGGTTGGAGGGCCACACTCTTGGCCTTTAGATGAGGGCTCGGGAAGGAGGGGGGGGGGGCCTCTGGGTCCTGCTACCGTTGCAATGCACCGTTTCCTGTTGCAGCATGTTCCAACGTTTACTTAGACTTAGCTCTTGCACAATGCTGCACGTGACACAACGCAAAGGAGGTTCAACACAGCTGTCCGAGACTTCGGTCTTCCCGGGTGGGCCTTCTCCCGGTCTTTGTTCTTGCCTCAGTGCGCATGCAGATGGCATGCAGCATGCAGAACGAAAGGTCAAGCAGCGACCGACATGTCGCCTTCTATCGGATATGCCGAAGTCAAGCGGAGATTGCCTAAGGGATACAGGGCACAAAAGGGGGCTTTTGAAAAAACACTTTTGGGGCAGCGGCGATTGGCACCCGAGTGAGTCTCCTCATGTCTCCTGCGTATGTAACATCCTGATGCAATGAGCCTGAATGTTTGCGGCAGGAAAGTGAGCCTCTAAACCTGTTGAGTTGGGTTGCTGGATCCTTAGTTGGAATGCCCAGACCCCTCAAGTATAGATCATCATAGACGTCTCCTTGCTTTCGTTCTTGGAAAGCCTCCCTGGTCCCTTCCTTACCCAACTGTTCAAGGTGGGGGTATGGTGAGCAGCGATGACGACAGGCAGAAGCACAGGACGAGCAGTAGGAATAGAAGCTGCTGGAGATTCACAACTTTTTGCAACTTAACTTCTGGCTCAGGGTGCGGAACAAGGATGCCTTCTGCCGGATCATCGGTTGTCACGCTCAACATGCTGAAGTTCCAAGATGGGGCTCATCGATCGAGGAAAATAGGTGGATCAGGGAGAGCCTATATGTCTCAGTGTAAACTTATAGACGGAGCACCTGTTTAGGCATGCTCCAACAAGGTCGATATTGAAAAGTGGAAAGGAAGCCAAAAACATTTCAAAAGCACTGATGTTGCTGCCAGGCTGCTCGTCAGGCTGGCTTTTTCGAGGGTCCACACGATGCGGCGCGGGTCACTTGCATCCACCCCCTGCGCGGGCCTCACGAGCGTCTGACAGTGTTGCCGCTGCTGTCCCTGGTTGCGGTTGCGGGCCCCCGATATCTGCATTTTTTTGTTCCAGGACGACGTTTCTACTTTGTTGAAAGTTCTGTTGAAAGTTCGCAGCCTG